ATCGGATTTAAAAAGCTGTCAACTTAGCAAATAAATAAATAAATAAATACACATTTAACTGCCTCCGCCGCCAAACAATTACCATGCGGGGCGGGGAGAAATATTTCGCGTCCCACAAGCCTAAAAGATAAATTCAATTATTATTTAATTAATAATGACAATTATTACGATACCTCCAATTAACACTACGCCAACATAATTTTTGGTCCTATCCTGTTTTTATTTTGTTTTTTGTTTTTTTTTCCACAAAATTTGTTGTTTTGTTTTTTCAAATTTTGTTTCTTGTTTCTTCTTTTTCACTAAATTCGAGGAGCATAATATGAGTCAATAAATATGGCTGTTTACAAAAATAACAGAAAATGATCTAAAAGTAACGTTATCGTAGTGTTCATTGGAGGCATCGACTATACAAGCATAAAATTTTTGTATAGTCGGTGCTTACTTGTATGCCACTTAGTACAAATAGTGGATACTTCAGAGCTCTCATGCCAAAAAAATTTTGACGTTGGCTCCGCCCAAATTTGTGCAACAAATATATGCCTGAAGTTCGCGTGACATGCGACAGGAGATGTTGAATTTTGCGCATTAAAAGTACCAAATTCGTTTTAGCGGAATAACTCTAAAACTAAAGGGATTTAAAAAAATCCGTAGTGACAGTTGTCGATCATGCATAAATATAATTAATTATCAAATTTTTGTCCTAATAACCTGTAGCATTTCGAGGATAAATTGAAAAAATGTGAAAATTAGAGGTCATTTCGTGATTTTTATCTATCGAGGAAACTTTATTGTTTTATGTTTCTGATTAATGTCTATGCTTGAATATATCGTGTAGTTACTCATACAATATTTTGTTTTTAACTTTAAAGTGGATATACCCCTCTAAAATCAAATCGAAGATTAGGAATTTTTCCTCTGCTCCCTCTTAAGCGAGGGCACCGACGCTACCGAATGGCGCTAAAAATGTACAATAATTTAGTAAATTTTATTAGTAAATAAGTAAACAACTTATTGCCTAATAAAATTTACTACACAGTGTCCGAATTTTTTAATGAAAAACCCCAAAGTTCATTGTCTATGTCGTGACATTCGCATATATTTGTTTTTTATTATGATTAAAATTTACCCAAATAACTATCATACTGTCTTATTAAATCCATGTGTGCACGCCCATGTGACATTATTAAAAAAACATGTTACACTGGCTTATCTAGTAGAGGTTCCGCCGTACTTAGTAAAGAAATGTGTAGACAATCTAATTCTCCCATTTACCTTACTGATAAATCAATCTTTTCACGACGGATGTTTTCCGGATTCTCTGAAAATGTCGCTAGTTAAGCCAGCTCATAAGAAGGGCGATAAAACTACCTACATCGGCCAAAGTAATAGAGACTGCGATGTCAAAAAGACACACATTTTTTGAAAGTTTAAAGTTCTCCATGACAGCCAATATGGTTTCCGTAAAAATAGAACCACGGTCCTAGCCTTATATAAGCACGTTCAGAAACTATTAAACATAATTAACAACAAAGAATACGCGGTGACTTTGCTACTAGATATGAGTAAGGCATGCGATAGAGTAAATTATAAAATATTCCTCGACAAGCTCTATTATCTTGGCGTAAGAGGCCTAGCTTTTAAATGGTTTCAATCGTATCTTCAAAACTGATCCCAATGCGTTGAAATTGAAAACACTAACTTTCATACAGGCGAAATTGAGCATGTCAGAACAAATGTCATCTCTATCACTGGTTCTATTCCTCGGGGAAGCGTGCTGGGTTGCATTCTGTTCCTTGTGTACGTAAATGACCTTCCTCACTCAATTCCTTTCGATAGTATATTGTTTGCGGATGATGTATCTGTTGTTTTGCCTTGCACATGTACTAATTCACTACAGAAGAACTTAGATGCGATATTGGATTCACTCACAGAATGGCTCGATCAAAATAATCTACAACTAAATTTAGAAAAAACAAAATTAATTCAATTTAAACCCCGCCAAAAAATTGCTTTCGATATCAACTATATATATAAATCAAACAAATTAGAAATGGTAGATTCGGCAACTATGTTGGGTATTGAAATAGATACACACATAAAATGGAAACCCTATATTCAAAAATTATCTAGCCGTTTATCTTCACTTATATATGTTCTTAGACAACTGAAACGTGTTACTGACCTAAAAACGGCCCTTTCAACTTCTTTCGGCCTATGGGATTATACTGCGGGGAAACAGCTTGTATTGTCAAAAAATTTTTGTTGTACAAAAAAAAATGATCAGAATATCAACCAACATAAAACAAACGGACTCCTGTAAACCGTATTTTACAAAACTTACCATACTGACTCTAACGTGCCTATACATTTTTGAAGCCTGTAAGTTCGTTAAAAAACACGTAGATTTATACTCTCCGATAAAATTAATAAGACGTAATAATCTTTACCATAACAAGCTTAAACTTCCTCCCTCTAGCCTAAAATTATTTTCTTGTGCACTCTATGTTAATAAAAGTATATAATCATATCCCAAATTATATCAAAAAATTGGACAAAGACACAGTCTTTGAAAAATGTTTAAAAGAATTTCTAAACAAAAAAACCTATTATAATATGTCTGAATTTTTTGGCGATAAATGTATTTGAAATTGATTTCAAGTCTATATGAAATTTAGGTAATAATTGAAAATACAATTCAGTAAAAATTATTATTAGCAATAAGTGTACGAATAATATATATTAAAATAATAAAATAAATGTACGAATAATATATATTATAATATATGTTAAAATAATTGTATCATTAGGTTTAAGTTTAAATTGTGCTACGCCCTAACAGGCTATCACATGAATGTATCTAAGTTTATTAAAATGTGAATTGCAATAAATGAAATGAAAATAAATGTAATAGTAATAAAAATGTTTAATAATTATAAAAATAATAATTTATTTAATTTTAAGATAAAAATATAAGTTTATCATCCAAGTGAAATGGAAATAAATGAATATGAAATAGTCTGTTGTAGTGCATATGAGTGTATGTATAATATACCTTCAGTATGTTTGCACGCCTAATATACGGCCGGATAAAGTCAAATTATACTTATTTTGTTATTTATCAACTTCTGTACAACCTATGTTTTTTTACAAATAAATAATTTATCATTTTGAACAACATGAAACATTATATATATGTCACTTTTATAACTAGGAGGAGGAGAACACCGACCATGGATGTAATGAGAAGAATAAAGGCCTATCAGTGTCACGTGAGTCTCGTCCGCAATTTCATATTTACCGCCCTTATTTCACAATGCCCTTAATATTATAATATACGTTTTTCCGTAAGCATTCCATTATTATTGTTCGTATATCTTTAAATCTCTTTCCTAAATAGTTGTTTGTACTAGCAGTGCGTTCCGGACGAACTATGCTACTAAATCATAATACATCCTTACAGTACGGCACACAAAGTAAGACAAGATGTTCAATCATCTATTCATCAGGCAGTTTTTCGACTTGATTACTTTTAAGTGCCTTATTTTATTATCTATCACACAAATGCGTTGCGCTGTAAAACCGAATTTGCTAGGAAACTTTCTATAGGCGTTTATTTTTCCTTACAAATTAGTACGTGTTTGGACCGCTGTATCGTATATTAACTGATGCATGACAAAGCTAGGTAAGAGTAGTACTGTAAGAGGGGGCTAAATTACAGTTCCTGCTTTTGTGTGGAGACCTATGTATAGCATAGGCCAAAAGCGATGTGGTTCACGTGTTGTATCAAGTTTCGTAAACCAAAACGGTAGAAAGACTAGAAGTCCTGTTACAAAGATTCTCGCGTCTATTAAAACATTTGCTGGTCTGCCACGCAGAGATCTCAGGTTTATTACTCGGACCGGGAGAAATATTTGTATGGCCTACAATTATTTTATTTCTTTCGTGAGTTTGAGTGTAATTTATGGTGTCTATGTGTGTATCCATGGCGTCTGCCACAGAAGGTTACCCTAGTGGGGAGCTTTAAAAAAAATTGCATAATCCACATGAATTGAGAAGGTTTGAATCATAACGAGTAAGAATACCTTGGAACTTTATAATTTGTTTTTTGAAATTTTAACCTGTCAAGTTTCTGCACGATATTTTCTTTTACTTTTATTCGTTATTTTCTAAAGAACATTGAATTGAAATACAAGTCTGAAGTAGTCTATTAATAGTTCTATAGATTTATTTAGTCTCGTCGAGACGCAGGCACTTGGGTCACGTTAGGTCAAAAGTTCAAAAGTTCAAGATTTTAGAGCGCTTGCGCGGCTAAAACCTGTAAGTTGGCACTACCGCACGTCTGCCAATTACAGTGATACCATAAATTTGTTGATCACTTGTATCGATATTATTTATTTGTAAGAAAACTCTTTTCTCTTCTTTATTATAAAGTATTACGGTCCTAAATTCCACTACGCACAACTAAGGGATTCTTCTTTATGATTTGTTTACAATTTTTATGTAAACATTTGTAAATAAGTATTTAAAAGCGATTTTTTTTTAATTTGGTAAATTGCAAATCGATTAGAGTTTAACAAAATATAACAACACTATTCCGTCACTGAAACCAGAATTATTGATTGGTACACATTTATAGTACTCTGTGAGTACACATTTATAAGCAAGATGCGAAAAGTGAAATATGAAATAAGTTCGCGAGTGACAAAAATGTAATTGACGCACGTATATAAATAAGAACTTATTAGAAAAGTCGTTTCTGATAAATAAAAACCTAATGAAACTACAAAATCGATAAAATAATTCATTATTACTTTTATTGTGCAAAATTTCATTGTTAAAAAACTTTTCTTAACAAAAGTATTTGAAATCTAACTCGTTTAAACCTGGTCATTATTATTTGAAAATTCAATAAAACCTTGTAATATTAATTTTATAAACAGTTTTTTAGAAAAAGGAACAGTGAATATTTTCGTGCTATTTTTTTCCAAAACTCATACAAAATGGAGGATCCGCCAGCGCAACAAGTAGATATAGACGACGAAAATATTCAAGATAGCACCGTTAGTAGTAACTCTATTCTTTCCATCGAAACAGTTTACGTAAAAGACGAATTTGACGACGAAGAATTCAACAATAATATCGAAGTTCAATCCGATGATGACATTTTCGACCCTACTGCGCGAGATCATGTAAACCAAAATATAAATCTGCGCGCAGACATCCAAATGATTCAGTACCCTGATCCTAACATACGAGTAAGGAACGAAGCTTTACAATTTGATGACAACGCACTGAATCTCGTAAAAATAAAAAAATCGGAAACGGTTGTGGAGAAATCCGAAGCGACATCTACTTGTAATTTGCCGGAGAACTTTCGATTTACCGGGAACAATCAATTGATGCATTTTATATCGGCGCCTTTGCGAAGCGAAGACACTATGCCTATTGACATGTTAGCTGTCAATAATGCTTACGAACAGAACATACCCATTAATATTCAAAATACACCGCCTGTAGTTCCTCCCGTTGATCAAGAAATACAGCAAAATCTTAACAGACCAAGTACATCGAGGCAAAATTTATATCCTTTTTTGCCAAATGAAAGAAATCCTATTGAAATAGCGGAGCTCAGTAACCGTATAGAAATGAAGATAAGCGATCAGGTTCTGGGTCCAAGAAGCCAAGAAGGTAGTTTCGATGGTGAGTATTTTTTACCGACTAATTCTCAAATTCGAATTCGAAGGTTCTCAATTCGGCTGTACGTTTTTTTTTGTATGTGTGTTACGGGATCACTCTTCTACTACTCGAATAGCATTTGTGAACCGATTTTGATAGATTATTTTTGTTGGAAAAAGGTACCTCAGTAGTGGGCCCCATTTAAATTTGAAGAAAATGTTCCACCTCTAAGTGTCGCAAACTAGGGGATGAATGTCCCATGAGTTCAGCTTTTTTCATTTAAACAAAGCATTGATCTATAGAGAAGATTCAGATCTCAAGATCATTTTTGTTATTAAGTGTTTTTAAATGTTCATTTATTTAAATATATACTCAATCTCTTTACAATGAACATAAAATGAGGCGAAACTATGAACTAGCAAAATTAATTAAACGTTTATAAATAAATAAAAAGTGCAATGCGAATGATACGTTGCCTACTGTAATTGTACAACCAAGTACTGCGATCTTAAATATTTAGGTCCTTAGCTTAAATGTAATAATAATAATTAAATTGCTTTGTTTACCAGACTCAGACGCCGAGTTCCAACCATCTGTAGACCCAGATCCACTCACAGCCAATGCCACAGTTGATGAAAATGTGCAACAATATATCTGCGACATTTGTCAAGTGCTGTTTTCAAAACGCTGCTGTCTGATTACACATATTTTCAACATCCACAACGAAGGTCCTTCCGGTAGTGCTGTAAAATCATGCTGCTGCGAAAAAGACAAAAAGTATGAATGTGACATATGTCACAAATTATTCCTCCACAAGGATAATTTGAAAAAACACCTCCATGAACATGGCCCAATAAAAACCTTAACATGCCATGTTTGTTTCAAAATATTCAAAATAAAAGCTTCTTTTATGCGACATTTGAACAATCACAATAAAATTCACAACTGTAACCAATGCAAAAAGAAATTTCGTGAAATAAGCCGTTTAAGACTGCATATTCAGCGTAAACATTTGTTTGCGGTTTCGCATAAATGTGATATTTGTCACAAAATATTCAAACAATCGTGCCATTTAAAGGACCACAAATTGGCGCATAAGAAAGTGAAGAAAATCAAATGTAATGTTTGTCAAGCAGAATTCAGGACGAAAGCGAAGTTCCATATGCATCAAAAAATGCATGATGGTAAAAAACCGTCCCACTGTGAGAAATGTAACGAGCAATTCAGCCATGACTCTCACTATTTAAACCATTTGCGTGTGTGCTGTGGCACCAAGGCTTTTAAATGCGAAATTTGTAAAAAAAACTTCGAACAGAAATCTGCACTGAATCGTCACTTGCGTATACACAAAAATGAGAAACCACGCCATCGCGAAACATGCCCAAGCACAAGAAGGTTCAAACAAAAAGATCAACAGAAAAAGAAATATTGAATCATTCGTTCAAAAATAACTGAAAGCAGCAAGAAATGAAAAGATACACAAGGCATCGTGTATAATAAAACAAGATTTAAGCTACGCCGTTATGCCAATAGCACAATTAATATATTCTTCAACAAAGAGTATATTTTAACCAGGTCAGCGCAGAGCGCATATTTAGACCGAAACGTTTCGACTGCTTCCATCTCCTGCTACAGGTAAATATAGTATTTGCGAGATGGTTTTAATGATGTTAATATATTTATTACAGATATTGTCTACGAGTTTTTGAAATCGTACAATTAAAGTAAATACGTAATTGTGTATTTAATGTTATGGTATTATTAAAAGTAGTCATTGAAAAAGCTAGACAAGAGATCATTGAGGTTGAATAGCAGGTTATTATATTTATTGCAGGTTTGTGTACTTTTTCACAGCCTATGCCTGTGTGAGAGAAAGAGAGATAAGATAAAAAGATGTTGTTTTACCAATGATATATTATTTAGTATGGGTACTGTTAAACAAGTCACCTTTAAGAAGTGAAGTTATAATACGACGACAATATATATAATATAATAACATTGTCGGTAATTTTTCTGGAAAGAATAGCTTCAGAAACATGCTGGAATTTGTATGATAAGGGCAGTTATAAATCTTAAACTTTAGAACCTTATTATTGATGTATACCAAATATTATAAGCTTAATTGTGTGACTCAAAATATCTGTATTGCTAAATGAAACTCGATGTCGTGTAATTTTAAATAAATATTTTATAGTTCACGTATTAGCTATAGACGCTGTTTTACCAAAGTTATCACCATTAGCGCGCCACTACATCGGGGTCCAAAATGGTATTGGTAGTCTTTTTATAACAAAGAAAACGAAATATATAAATAATTATGTTATAATTACAAATTATAAACGGCTCATGTGAGACAATTCAATGTTTATGTCTCGTAGCACATTTTGAATTATTATTGATACATGAACATCATGGTAGTAAATAATAATAAATCTTAATTACGGACTAAAGAGATCCATGAAGTGATACTAACAATAAATTTAAAATTAGGTTGGTACTTATGTACTACTACGAATTTTGTGGATATTACGAAAAGCCGCATCTTGGGGCACTGACTTCTAACCGCGATAATGTTCAGGGGCAGTTGCTGCTTCCACGTACACTGTTTAATAAAGATTCTTCTTCCGTAAGAATGACATGAAGCTGCCGTAAGAATGCCGTGTAGTTGCACTGCAGAACCGTGACAGCTGCAGCAGCGTCCTAAAGGCGTTATTATATTGCGTATACAGTGCCCTGAATGACCTTTGGGTATAGTAAAAACTTCATGACATTCAATAAAAACAAAACGTTTTGCATTGACAAAAACAAACGTAAATGTATAAAAGTAAAGATTCATATTAATAAATTATAATTTATGTACCCTGCTTACCGCTTAAAATGCTTCATAGACTCCTTTGCACATTCTCCCCAAATATCAGTAGGTGAAGAAAAAAAGAACAAAATAATGCCGAAATTATTATTGATGATATGTAATGTTTACTTTGAAATGTGAGATAAATATAATAAATGAAAAAATTTTGGTGACTATTCATTGATGTCTTACATTAGGATGTAAGATGAGTGTAAATGAGAATGGTATAATATGTCCATGTAATTACAATAGATAATTGTAATCTATATTTAAGTAAAAAAAGGTAACACATGATTTCGTGTCGTTACTTCAACAGCTGTTCGAACATATCCCAATTTCCAAGATATGATGTTTTTAGTTTTCAGTGTGATTTATAATTATAAATGTTTTTTTTTATAACTAAAAATTTTCTTTACAAAATTCCGTTTAATAAGTATTAAGGAATTTGTTCGAAATCGTTTCAAGTATAATGTTCGAGTGTTATTTCGGGAAAATGTCATATTCTTCTTAAATTTATGAGCCAGGCTCGTGTCTTGTAGGTAGAATAAGTTAATATTTAAGTATTCACTTAGTTCATTGTAATTTTGATTTATATGTATGGATATTTGATGAACAAGTAGAAATTAAACAATAAATGTCACACAAAAGGATACACAATACAAACACACACAAAAACAATATGGTAAATATACGTCTTTACTTTTACTGGAAATAAATGTGGCTCCGGATCTCACGTTTTTCGTGTTATTTAAGGCCTGTACACATCAAATTCCATCAAATTCAATGCTTATTTAAAAAAATAAAACGCCGCCATCAAAAATGATTTTATTTCTTCAGGTTGGCAAAACTGTTGACAATACCTGTGTTGCCATTTATTATTTAATCTAGAACCGAATCGAGTTATTTATGGAATCGATTCAGAAAATGACATATTAATTAAGACATCACTACAGCTCACATGATGCGGTTATTTAGTTCGTGTTTGTTACAGGTGAAACGATAGAACAGACATACGTGATAGAAATTTACAGAACACTGTCATCTTGTTATAGCGAATTTTGCGCAAAAATGCTACAAAATATTTTTTTCATCACTCTACTGTTGTTTTGTGGACACTTTGTAACAATATTTTAGATTTTTAGCGGATTATTATGTGAAAAATGACGGACTTGTGGATTATAAACGGCTTTTGCCGTTGTTGTCTAAATGAAGGCAGTTGCAGGAGTCTTGAAGGCTCGTATTCCTTTAATGGCAAAGTCGAAATATACTCAGCGATGTTTAAAGAAATTTTTAACATTATTGTAAGTTAATTATTATATATTTTACATAGCAAAACAGTGTAAACATTTATAAAAAGAGTTTTCTAGAAATGCAATTAAAACTGACACCATATAACACTATTTATGTTATTTAAATTATTCTAAAATCCTCAGAATTTTTTAATACAACTTAGCCAAACTGAATGTACTAGTCGACCAGAATAATGAGACACGCAGCTGAAATATAATGCCATAATTGGACGGGTATTTTATAGCTTTTTAAATTTGGCATAATAAAGAAACAGTTTTTCGTGATCTGGCAACTCAATTTCCCATTTCCTGTGTGTCTCAAATCTACTTTTTTGCATTGTTAGCCTAAGCATTCCATTTACATCATAACACTCCCCCTCCTATACAATATTATCCACTTTATGAGACATTCTAAAAACATCAATATCATCATCTTGGAGTGAATCCTTCGTTTGTGATTGATACGTAATTTTTTTTGGACAAAGATAAGAATATAGTGTGAAATTGATTAAACACTTTTTAATAACTGTTTGAAGTTAGCATTTTAAATTATTAACACAAAGATCAAACACCAAGAAAAAATTCCTTCTATCCTGCTGGATTCGAACCAGTGTCTTCCAGCAAACAGTACTAGACGGTATGCCAACAAAGCCATGTAAATAACAAATGGACCTTACGCATAACATCTAACACGGTTTGCTAGAAGACGCTGGTTTGAATCCAGCAGTATTGAAGAAATGTTTTTTAGTGTTTGATCTTTGTATTAATAATTATAAACGCGCTTGCTGGGAAACAAACACTTGTCCATGGCTGTTGCTGTGCTACACAGAGGCTTTTAATCTTAAAGATATGAGGGCACTGCTCGTATGCCTGTCACACTAAGACATAAGTTGACAAGTTCATGTATTACTTTAATAAATATATATAAGCAAGAGACTTATGACTTGCTTCAACAAACACCTGTAAAGCACCACAAACTATATATGTACCTATACTTACATTACAAAACACTATTCTATACACGTCTTCATAACCAGTTCGAAAATATTTGTAAGTCTTTACTGGCTCCCAAAGTACAGGATTCCCTAGTTTGGAAACCGATTGATGGCTTGTCCACTGTTTTTTTTTGTCAGTTTATGTGCAACCCATAATTTGTATGTATTTTGTCACCTATGGTATTACTGTTGTATATTTATTCAGTCATAAAATAATTAAGAAAAGTAATATACAAAATAATTATTACTGTCTATATATAGGTAAATGCATATGCGAGATTTACACTCTAAGGCGATGTTTTACTTTGCCATTAAACCACTTTCTGTTTATCTGCAGCTGCCCCCTTTACCATCAACAAACCACTCTTCGGCTAACGCAATATGTGCTCCTTGTATTTCAAAACTGAGGGATGCGTCAGCATTCCGGACACAAGTTTTGCAAAATGAACTACGATTTGAAGAATGTTTTAAGCAATATTTGGAGAATGGTGAGTTTCTTTTGTTATTATCGGTGTAGTTCCTCGTTACTGCAACGAGAAGGCATAGTGCCGTCTACGGTTTAAATATAATACCCAAAAACTTAGCACAATTTGAGATAGGGATTGGTTGATCGGCGACTCCGGCGTGTCCACTCTCGAGATTTACAAACGTTACGGCAACCTAACATCTTTTTTTAGCTTGGAATCTTTTTGACATTTCTGTGATCTTTTGAAAATTTAGATATTTCGGGAGCGAAGTTAGGTCTTCACAGAACTCACGCTCGGCTTCGTTGCGGTTTTTAATTTTTGCAGAACAGTCTGAATCCCACCAAGGCGTAGAGTAGATTCTGGTCCGAGCGGAATTATTAAGCGGAATGGAGTCGTTTGCAGCGGTTAGCAAGAGGGAAACGAATACATTGTACATCTCAAGAAAAATTTAGCTGTCAATATCTTGGATCTGAGTTGCCAGGTTAGCGTCGACGAGGCGGGAGAATTTGTCCCAGTCAGCCAATTTAACCCTATATTTGAGGAGAAGTAATACGATTTAGGGGGAGTAATACTGTCTAAATATAATAATATGGGAAAGTGATCGCTGCCGTGAGAGAAGCTGAGAGTTTGCCAAGTTAAACTGGGTAGTACATCTGGAGAGAATAGAGTGATATCTACGCAGCTCTTATTTTGGAGGGGAGAGACCCTACGAGTGGGTGAGCCGTCATTGCACACGGACACATTCAGGTCATCAAAAAGTTGACAAGGGCAACAGAGTTAGAGCAGCAACGAGTGGAACCCCAAAGGAAGTGGTGACAATTAAATCGCCAAAAATAATAATGCTGTCTGTGAAGAAAGATTGCAAGATTGTCTTTATTTCGGAGATAATATTTAGTATGAGGAACATAAATAGAAATTAATGATATGTTTGTGGATTTGATAGCTACCATTTGGAAGTGGATTATGGGGCGGGAGAGTAATTTGGGAAAACGGAATTTTGAGATTGACCAAAATGGCAGCACCTGTCTTGCTGTCGTCTCTGTCACCCCGAAGGCTTGAATAACCTGGTATTCGAGCCAGGCTTAAGCCAGGTCTCCGAGACAGCAAGAACAGCGGGCTGGTATTTGTTAATTAGGTACACAAAATTTAGGCTTTTTACGTCGGATACTTTTACAGTTCCACTGAAGAAAATTGGTCATTTTGTTTGATGAGAGATATAAAAGATTCTAGTACAGGGAGGATATTGGGCGGTATGATTTCGCTAAATTTGGAAACTATATTAATTAGAGCTACTACTGTCTAGTAGTTCGCTGAGGTTGTCATTGGGTGAGGGCGAAGGGGTTCTCCCTCGGGGGGGATTCAAAGCGCAACCATTAGGTAGATATAGATATTGGGGTACGGGTAATAATTTGTATTTCAGCGTCATAGGAAGCTCGGACGGGTCGGAAGCGAGTAGCAGCTTCTGAGAAGCTGGTGTTCTCCTCCGACATAACGAGTTTTATTGCCTTTTGGCGAGCGTGCTTTGGGCAGATGCTATCAGTAGCTCCCTGGTTGCAGATCTACATTAGCCGACTATATAACCGAATCGGCAGCATTTCCTGCACTGAATAGTTGGTAGTTTGTAGATTTCCACAGCTACTGAGGTATGGAAACAATAGACTTTCTCAGGTAAGCGTTGGCCCTGAACACTCATAACTACTGTTGTAGTGGGAATCCATTGCGTAGTATTGTTTAGGCGAATTTTTCTACTCAGTCGCCTAAGTTTTATAACAGGGCCGCAATTACTCGAGAAGGATAAACCGGAAAACAATTCTTCTAAAGACCAGTCCGTAGGAATGCCCCGAAGGACTCCCATACGGTAGACGTTATTTAGGGATCTGTCTCAGGTAGTTGTCAAATGTTTTTGCCAAAAAAGTGTTGCTTCTTCTGCTGATTTAAATTCAACTGCAATTTTATTACGTCCTAAAGGTTTAATACCTCCGTCAACAATTCCTTTTGTACCAAGCTTATGTAGCATCTGGGCCAATTTGAGAACCCGAATAGAGAAACCCGATGCTGGATCAGACTCCCTACGCGAGATGTGGACTATGAAGGGTCCTACGTCCTGCGTGGAGTGTGCCAGATCGGAGTCGCTATCAAATTTAGGATTGACGAAAGTGTTTTGGATCGAGGCGGATGGGCGAACACTTTTTTTAGCAGTTTTGTTTTGTAGGTGGCTGTGGGCAGGACGCTTCTTGGAGCCTAATGTTTCCGTGTCCATGCTTTGAGGTGCTGAGACAAGTGTTTAGGATGAGTCATCATCAGGGAGCTCCTCTTCGGTCATAACACTAATAAGATTTGTACTAACCCTGCTTACCAATTTGTTGGGGGTAGATAACTGTCAACAGTGAAAACAGCAAAATTCTAATGATTTTTTAAACTATAACCTCAACGGTTTTCAATACTATACGTGCTCACCACCGAACTCAACATCAGATATCGAAAACTACCAACCTTATTGTTGGCTCCATCGTTTTCATTCAGTAACTTCAACTTTTGACAGGTGTCAACGTCAAATGAAAAAAATTAAAGGAAAAATACTTATTTTTCTTTTTCAAAATGGAATTTTTTCCCAACACTAAGACTATCAAACTCCTCAACTATTTGGCCCAAATATATGGGCTCATTAGCTGGTTTTTCATTAATAATAGACTCACGCTTGGTCACAATCTCATCTGATGTTAAGCGACGATGTGACCGACGATGGGATGCGTTTGCCTAAAAAATGCCTATTCACTCTAGCCTTGAATAGTCCGAAGTTGTACTTTTCGGGAAATACAGATGCCGTAGAGTATTCCATTCCTTTGCCGTAAGCATCAGAAAGGAGGAAGCAAAGCGCTTAGTGCGAATAGGTGGAATATCAACGACATAAGAATGGAGAGCTCCGGACCTTCTAGTGGACCGAAAGAGAAACGGTGAGGGTGGAACTAAATTGAAAAGTTCCTGCGCACACTCCCCGAAATGTATCCGATAGAAAACCGACAAGCAGGCTACTTTTCTGCGATGGTCGAAATTTTGTAGCTTCTACTCCACAAGAGAGTTGCTGTTAATAAGTCTCTTGTTCTTCGCTCCACCGAGTCCAAGGCAGCTAATTGATAATTTGCAAAGCCGTTCCAAAGGTGGCAGCAATACTCCATACACAATCGAAACTTGTGCTTTGTGCAGACATTATTTGAATTTTAATTTGCAGCCGAAGTCGCGGACTCCAGCTTCATCATATTTCAATAGATTTTTTTTTTCAGGCATTCAACCGATAGAAACCGAAATAAAAATAGAAGAGGTTGACGATTCCGAAGCCAAACAAGAAGCAAGTACAGACCAACAACCTGCAGCTGTAGCCAGGGAAGGTATTACAAGTCTATTTCAATATAACACGAGAGTACTCTGATAAACACTTCAATGTGTTTTTTCATATTATAACATTATTATGTCTACAACCTGTAGGTACAAGTGGTGCCCTTAGATAACTGACCTAAAGCGCCCCGTGTACGTTCAAATAATTTGTCAAATTTGTATTTAGTAGCGATAGAGCTCCTTGTGACAGAGCCACCTTACCTATTTCTGCCGCCAAACAGCAGTGTGAGCATTAGCTCAAATGAAGAAAAGTGCTGTGTTCTGGTGAACTGCGTTCTGGTTTTGAAGGGTAAGGGTGCTTGTGAAATTACAGGTACATGGGACTTTTAAACTTATGTCTCAGGGTGATGGGCGCAGAGGCAGTGCCCCTCAGATCTTTGCGATTTAAATCTCTGGTCACTCTCTGAAACTAACCAAACCTCCGTGTGTTAGCATCCCCAGAAAACAAAACAAAACAAAGATCTGCAATAAGTATATAGAAAAATCCGTAGGGTGCGCTGGTTCGTTTGCTAGTGTTATCTCGTTCATTCTTTACTAAAGCGTGAAACACACAGAACGGGTGCGGGTCGGGCACGTGTCGGGTCGGGAGTACGGCGGGTGTAATTACGTATATTTATATAGACGACAACCACGAGCGGGCGCAAGACCCAACCTGCGCCCGACTCGCGCCCGCTGTCAGTGTGTTTCACGGTTTAATGTACCGATAACATTTTGTTTAATATCATTTAATTATGTATAAACAAGGGTAACCCGTCATTAGTTAACGCTACTGCGTTAGAGTACGGCGGCGGAACCAGTTCCTGAGGTGTGACGGCTGAGGAGTGAGGCAAGCTTTATTATGACAACTTTATGCACAAAACACGCGTAATGGAGATCTCATCTGCCTTTCATATTAAGAATGCCATGTTTATTTAAGTACGGGGTTATATACTGCCTCTTTGGCACATTAAAACAGAAGCGTATGCAAACATTCTGTACCCTTTGGATAGATCGTTCCATGTTACTGTTCAGCGCAGAACCATATATAGCGCTACAGTAGTTAAATGGGGAAAATGAATACTAGAAGGTCTATTAGGAGTATACGTAGCTCTTACCGAATATAAGGTCTTATTTTGTATAATGTCTAAAGTTAAAAAACGCATTTTTTATTTTCATGTTTAGATCTGACGTGTATTTTTGCTCTCCATCTATTAATAGCCCCAAATACCGTGCAGTTTTGACTTCTTCGAGTTAATCACATTAATTTGAACCCAATCTTTAACACTTAAGGACTTTTTCTATTTGATATTTGGTTCCTAGGACTAAACATCTGTGATTTATTTGCGTTGAGAAGTAAACCATTTTATTTAATACAATTTTAATGTACCAAAAACAACGTCATTACAAAGTATATATATGAAGCAGGAGTTTTACTTGAAGACGTTTGTAACCTTCAGCTGAGCTGTTCGTCAATAACAGCCTGGACACTATTGTAAAATAAGTTGTCGCCTGACTTTCTCAAACTCGTATCTTATAAAGAGTGATTATTTAGGAGATGGTAAAACTTTCTATTTATTAATTAAATTTTTATTGAATTGATATTCAATTATTTTTTGTTGAAAAAATTCCTTCGATCCGGTCGGATTCGAACCGACGTCTTCTTGCATACCGTGCCAGACGCCATACCAACTAAGCCACGGAACGAACCAACGGACCTCACGAATTCTTCTATTTGCTTGCGTCGTGTCTTTGTATTTGGTTTTTTAACGACTTTTTAGTCGTAGCCCCATCTATGACAGATTTATCACCCAGTTAGTACCTTTACAGCTACCAGTCCTGGCGAGAGATGTCGCTATTCACTGTATTAATTAAATTTTTATTGAATTGATATTCAATTATTTTTTGTGAAATTACTCCACTAGTTTGTTATAATTATTAATACAAAGATCGAACACTCAGAAAAAATTCCTTCGATCCGGTCGGATTCGAACCGACGTCTTCTTGCATACCGTGGCAGACGCCATACCAACTAAGCCACGGAACGAACTAACGGACCTCACGAATTCTTCTATGTGCTTGCGTCGTGTCTTTGTATTTGGTTTTTCAACGACTTTTTAGTCGTAGCGCCATCTATGAGAAATCTATGACAGATTTATCACTTTCTATTTATTTTAAATTTCTTATCAAAGGTGTTAATTTAGATGCATTGCTTTAAGAATAGATAAAAGCCAGTGTGTGAATAAGAAGGAAATGTGATATGAAATTAGCCTGCAAAATTTGTATATACAATTCATTTTTTGCATTTCACTAACTTTATATATAAAAAAGGGTCAGACCTGCAGAAACCTTTTTAAGAAATACAATATAATGACCATATACTCACAATATATTTATGATATAATAGTTTGTGCGCGTCAAAACTTGGCTACTTATGAGCGACGTACGGGCGGAGGCCGAGCGTTGCGAAACGCGGGAACACTAAAATCCGTTGCCCACCGTACCGAACTTGCAACTAGAAATCCGCGGGTAATGGGTCCCCGATTCTACGAACATCTACCCACAGACCTGAAAAGTGTTAGAAACGATGCAACGTTTTGTACCCGACTAAAAAACCTTTTATTGGATATTGAATTGTACAGTGTCGATG